TGGAAGCAATGTTTGCTGCAGGACAATTGTTCTGGGTGAATTTTGTGTCCCTGTGTATTTTCGGTGTGACTAGATATAAATTTAGGGGAGGAGACATTTGAAAAACACTCTTCTATCTCTACATATGCTTGGGTGTTTGCATCTGCCCAGCACTCACTCTATAAGGCTAGAGAGAAGGAATGAATGAATACACAAACTGAACAAATGTGTGAGTGAATCAACACTGCCAGATATGTGCCAGGTGCTTCTGCACAGGTTATCTCAGGAAGGCTACTGTGCTCAGGTCAAACAATCACAACAATAGGAAAAGTAAGCAAGGCGGGAAGGGCTTTGCTGGCAGGTGCAGAGTACACCCGGCCCCCACTGCCAAGTGAAAAGTTTGCTGTGGCCTATCTCAGAGCCACAGAAGCAGGTAAGGCAGCCAAGGCTTGGAGAAATGAAGAGCAAACTCTGAGACAGGGCAGGGTAACTTAAAAGTAACTGAGAATTGCTGAGGAGGAAATTAGCATCTCCAGATCAACCGCTAAGAACAGACAGAGTGGCCGGTGAGGACCCCACACTGTCAAAGGCCAGGAGAATAAAAGATGACCCAAGGGTAGCAAAAGGACTCCAAGCCAGACAGGCCCGATCTGTGTCCTGGCTTCAATTCTTATGAACTCTGGTGACTTCCGGAAGCTTCTTCGTCTCTCTTACATGCATGTAATCATGCCTCCTGAATATCACTGTGAGAATTAAGTGAAATAATGTGCACAGATACTTTACTCGTCATAGCACCAGGTACAAGTCTGTTGATAGTATTACACGAATGGTTAATTTTTCTTAAGTGTGGTTTACTTTTAAATCATGCTGTTGCTGAGGTATTAAAGTTGTATGAGGTATTAAGGATGTATGTGCAGTTAAATTAGCAAAAAAATACAATTGTATGGTCCAGTAGCTGTCTCTCTCGTGTTGGAAAAAATGCTAACTTCTGGTGCTACGATATCCTAAACAGATTCCTGGAGCCACTGCTTGCAGCCGACTTTAGGTACAGGGAGAGGAGGAAGGAAATTCATGAACTCCAAAGGACTCTCTTTGCACTCCTTATTCTAAAACAGAGATGGAAACATTTTAGCAGCTTGGGAAAAATACTGTCTAGAAGCCACCATCCTGATCTTTTATTTGGGGCTTATACTGCATAATGGGGTACCTACTGCCGTAAATATTAAACACACACACAAGATGTTAAACATTCTTCAAGTTTTCTGAGATGTCACCGATAACTATTAACACACCCTGGCTTAGAACTGACCCCTGAGTCGTTCTGCATATTTTTTTCCACGTGAAACCAAATTGAGGAAAAAATTTTAAACAATCTGAATGTAGATCCTACTTTAAATTCATGCTGTGGGGCTTAAACTAAACTATATCCTTTACCCACCCGCTAGCTGCAAAAAAAAAAAAAAAAGAAACCTATTTATTTTTCTTGCAAATGCACCATATACAAGGGTAAAACAAATGTCTTTCTGTCTTGAGATGTGTATATATAACTGTCCCCCCCACCCCCCGGCCAAACTCCCAAAAGCCAAACATCTAACAGAATGACTGATATCACCCTTGCTTTAAACAAAACAAAACAAAAATTTTACCTCTCATCAAGCAGAAATCAGGAGATCTGAATTCTAGACCCAGTTTGGCCATGACCTAGCTCAGGGACTATGGGAAGTCTCTCTGGCTCTCTGTTCTTGGTCCTTGTTCAGAGCTGGTAGGGTGGGCTTGGGGGTGGGAGAGGAGTTGATCTGAAACCCACCCAACTCTAAAATCCTATAACTCCAGACCAAAACGTGGGTAAACAACTGCAAGATTTTGGAAAAAATATGTAATATTAACCTAAAACATGGGTACCGAGAAGACCTCTCTTATAAAGCCCTCTTTGAAGGAAACAATCATTTTCGGATTCTGACCTGAGGGGTGTCTTATCTTATTTTTCTCATCAATCCCTTTCATGTAGTAACAACTCCACCTGCTGGAACTTTAGGTTCACGCTGCTAAAGGTGGGCACTGTCTGGTAAGGTTCCATGGCCTGAGCACAAGCTGGGTTACGGAAGGAGGGTCCGTCCTCCACCATATCCCTATTTGAAGGAGGGTAGAGCTGAGAACCCCTTCTTCTTACTCATCAGATCTTACAGTGAGGATGCTCAGGGCTCAGGGAATGACTAAGAAAACCCCGGAAGTGGGCACTCAGCGTGGGTCAGAATTTCTGCAGTTTTCTGAAAGACGATCCTTGGCTTCCCCTTCAGAGCCTCAGCCCTAGGGGTCCAGTTAATGCCTCTGGGACTGGAGTTCCGGAAACTAATCAGGAGTCTGAACACAGTGTGGGTTTGACGTGGTCAGAGGCAGGCCAGGGAGTGGAGGCCGTGGGAAGGCACACATCTCAGCCCTGAATTGCTGCGACGGCCCCCAATAACACCCCGAAATCCATATCGCCAGGTGAGGGAATCACTAGGGCTTTTAAGGAGCCCAACCTACTCTTCAAGATCAGGGGCCTAAGCTTTCATTCCAGAATCAGAAGTCAGAGGCCTGGGTTTTTGTTTCCACCTCTGCTCTTGCCTTGGGAGAGTGAGCTCGCCACTCAGGGCCTCTGAAAATGGGGCGATGAATGAATGGCCCCCCGTTTTGTTGTTCGACAATTCCTGCATGTCTCCCATATTCCTCCACGCACTGTGTAAAAAAACCTCCTGTTGATGGCGTTATTTCTTTCTTCCCCAATCCATCACTGATGGTGACATTTTTGGGCCTTGACAGGGGGCAGGAAGGAGAAGCTTAGATCTTTGTGCAAGGGCTGTTGTCTGACCTCTGGGCTCCAGTGAGGGTGTAGCCTCTTCAGGGCAGGGAGGAATGCCAGCAGTCCCTGAGACAGGGCTGTCCAGCGCTTACATCAGCCTCTTTCGGTATAATCAATAGGCTCCAGGGCCAAGTGGATTAGACGCCTTTTCCCCTAAGCTCCCCACCCGTGCCTAGGGGAGCCCCGCACCACTGGCTCAGCTCCCACCTCACGTACCGTGCGCCCCCAGCCTCAGAGCCCAATTCAAGTGCAGAGCCCAGCCCGCTGGGTCCGCAGAGACATGTTAAACAGTGAAGAAAGCATCCTTGGGATTCATGGTGACTGATGACCACCACCTCTCCCCAGGCTCGGCCAGTGCAGACTTCCTCTGTCCTCTCAACTCAGCTGAAGAACAGTTGCCAAAGAGTTCCTGACAAGCACCCCTCTGGCATGTGGGCAGCATTTCTGATCTCCCTCTAAAGGTCATCTTTCCACAGCTCCTCCCTTCCTGCCACCCCATCAGGAGTTGTTTATTTCACACAGCTAAATGCCCTGGTCCTTCTCGGCTACCTTGGCAACATTCCATCAGAGCACGGTCAACAAAGAGAACAGGAGAAGGCAGCAACCCAAAGACAAAGTATGGTGCCCAGCCCAATTCATAAATGTGACTTAGATATATCGCAGATGTCCTAGATCATATCCAGACTCCCTTCCTTTGCCATCAAAACTTTCCTTTTGGCTCCTGCAGGGTCCAGCAGATCTCATGTAGCCGGGACACTCCTAGTTTAGCCTTTGGCTGCCCTTGAAAGGGACTCTAGATAATGCTAGGAAGACTGCCAAGAACATATATTGCTTTGTGGATTACAGCATCTAAGGTGAGGTGGGCATGTGGAGTCTAGGGTAAGTGTAGGCATACCTCGTCCTCAGGAGTGGCAAAGTGCTATCACGTACATTTTTCCTGTTTAATCCTTAATCACTGTCCCGGGAAAAGGAAGGGCTGAGGAAGGAGGAAGCAAGTTTCAAGAGACCTTGGGAAAGGACACTACTGAGGAGTGAGGTCTCCCTCTGGTCCTGCGTGACTGGGATGAAAGTGGCGTTGTAAGGACCTACTGAAACCAAAGAAGATCAGCCCTAGGGAAACCCTCAGTCTGGGTCCAAAGAGTGAATCTGCATAGGTATATGAGTGTCTACAGGAGAACCTGGAGGCAGGCGCTCTCTCCCAGCCCAGCCTCCCTAGAGAGCCAAGACTGGAGCAAAGATGTCTCGGAAGAGGATGATCCACTTATGCCTCACACAGGGTGGCAGCATGTCAGAGCCCAACAAATACTAGACGCTGATATTTTTTTGTGACTTGGCCTGGAGACGCTATTCACTGAGGCTTGGCTAGGAGACTTCATTCTTCTCTGGCAATCTCTACAAGGTTCTACATGTAGCCCTTTGGGGAAGGAGGGAGAAGATAAACCCTAGAAAAGAGTGTTAGCTAGGTAGGCTGGCTTCCCTTGTAAACATCTGAGGAAGGGCCCTCATCAGAAAGATGCCCATTCCGAGACTTGGTGGCCTGCCAGATACTGAGATCTCTTGCATCTCTGCTCAGTTAGCAGCAAAGGAGAAAAACCAGAGATTCTGCTTTGCCTCTACACCTTTCCTCATGTAGGTACTCAGGGAAGTCATGTGTTTTAATGAGGCCAGTAACTGAATTTTAGTGAGCATCTCCAATGATTTTAGGAAGTATGTCTGAATTGGTGTATTACATAGAACAATAATAATGAACATTACTGAGTCCCAACCACATGTCCAGGCATTGTAATAAACACTTCATGTGGATTAACTCATTTAATGCTCACAACGATCCTATGAGGTAAAGACTCTTCTTATCCCCATTCTATAGGTGAGAAAACTAAGGCACAGAGATCACATATCTAGTTAGTGAGGCAGCCAGAAGAAAGCCCAGGCAGGCTGCCCCCAGCTCCTTCCACACAACCACTGGGCTTAGATCACATCTGAAAATGTGGCCTGTGACCCTGGGATACACTTATCTCTTGCTGGACCAGCAGAGCCCTGAACCAGGTAGTGGGCTCCTTTGATACTAAAGCCGTGGACCGTGGATCCACCTCTGGACCCCCAAACTTTTGGGGCTGGTTGGGTGACAGCTACACCTGTGCTGACAGAAAATCCAGCAACCCCAACAGAATTTTCTTACTGGAATCTCCTGCTCTGTCTCCTTTCTCTCCTTTCTCTCCTTTTGGGCCTCGGTCACCTGAAACGGAGGAGGAAAATTGGCGTTAGAAATGGAAGTAAATCCTAATGGTAAATAAAGTACAATCTGCAGAAGACTTATTAACGCAAGACCAGAGAGAACCTCAGGCAGGAGCCAGTAGCTCTGGAGGGCATGGCATGATGGAAAAAGAGCTTGAGCCAATTCTGCTGCCTGTTCTGGTCACCCCAGGAAGCGGAGGGCCCCAGCTGAGGAATTTCCTTCCCTCCTCATTAACACCTAGGAAAGCAGTGCAGCACAGACTAAAGGAGTAGTGATATTTAGCAGGAAGAAGACAAAGCAAAGACATTCCTATTAAATAGTCAAGGGTCTGGAAGTCCACATCCAAGTTGCTCTAATAAGCATAAGAAGAGAAAAGGAAGGCAGGTCTTCAGTTACATAGGGAGAAACATAGGTTATATATCAGGCAGATTTACCAGTGGATGAGGCTATAAAACATGAGGGAGAGGCCCCAGGGAATTGTGAAATTTCTTTCCCAGGATATGGTTAAAAAAACAGAGAAGGCTCTTTTCCCAGCTAGCATCCTACTCTACAAAAATGTAGTAGGCTCTGACACTGCTCAAGCGGGGGTTAAAATGACCAAAGAATTCTATTCCAAGTACCTCCATAAAGGTATCTGCAAATCAAAGTTCATGGCATATTGTCTGGTGAAAAAAATCAAGCCAATAAGTTTCAGAGGAGGATGCCAAGTATGATTCAAGTTTTCTTTAAAAAAAAAACAAAAAACAAAAAACCAAAGGCAACCATATATGTAAACGTGAATATGCTGAGAAAAAGGTCTGGCAGGATATGCTCCAAACTGTTTACAGTAGTTATTCTAAAGAATAACAGCCTAAGAGACCTAGGGCAAGGGGACCCGCTTTCTACTTTACACTTCCTACACTTCTGTATGGTTACATTTTTTCAACAAGCATGTGCTGCTTTTGTAATCTGTTTTAAAATCGATTGTAAGAAATGTGGATCATAAAAGGACGGAAAACCTCAGGCTGTTTAATCACCAGCCGGGAAGTGAAATAAAAGTTCCCAGTGATGCAACGATGCAAGGTTCAGAGACCGTCCTGGATGTGGGGTGGGAATGTTAGCAGAACGTCTTTCTTAGACTTCAGTTTAACAAGTGAGAGGCCGAGTCTGGAGAAAGACTGTCAGATTTCCTCGTCTTCTTCTGCAGTGATGATAGGTCTGGACGCTTTTGAAATGAACGTGAAAAGACAGGGACTGACTATAACGTGGGCTCCCCTAAAACAGAACGAGGCAACTAGCAATAAAAAGGGAAAAGTCAGAAGAAACACTATTGGTAATGCAAAGCTGAGAACTGACTTAAGTTTGAAATGTCTGGGGAATCAAAATAAATCCCTCACAGTCCTGTGAGGAATCTGGCAGTGCTGGAGAGGAGGTGGCTGTCCCAGGTCTGCAGCCTCTGGGTCTCTCCTGCGGGCCCACTTTCCTGGCGTGGCTTCCTCTGAGCTGCAGCCAGTAGTAATCCTGGTTCTCCCTTGCATTTCTATAACACTTTAGAGTTTACAAAGTGTTTTTACAGATGCGTATCCCATTTAATCCTCATGACAGTCCTGTGAAATATGGTATCATAAGGATTTCTAGTTTTGGGATGAAGAAAGTTGTGTCTAATGATGAGATTAAGTGCCTTGCTCGAGGCCACTTAGCCCGTCAGGGGCAGCCAGAAATCGAAGCCGGTCCACTCACTCCAATGCCCAGGCTGGTGAGCAGGGGTGCTCAGAGACGATTATTACCTTTGAAGCCACGCATGCCCATTGTTCCTGTGGCTCCCGGCTTCCCATCATCGCCCTTGGGGCCGGGCAGTCCTGGGGTTCCTCTCTCCCCTGGAAGACCTGGGGAGACAAGAGACAAACTGGAGAGCCTCAGACTCAGAACTGGAAGGACGCTTAGAGGTCATCGTCTGGCTCAGCAGTTGACCTCAACCATGTGCCTCCCCTTGCCTGCCTCTGCTTCCTGGTTCTCTCGGGTAATTTAAAGATGCTACAAAAGCAGTGTTTCAAAGGTCAATACAAACCTTCCCCATCAGCACCTTTTATCTAGTTCAGTTAGGCCCTTACCCCTGAAAGACCTAATTCTATTGTGAGTGATGGTGCTGGTGCCAACTCCATTTAGGAGATGTCCCTTTACCTCCAGCTGTGCTGGAGATTTAGGTTTGCAAACTTTTTTTTCGGAGCATTTTCTAAGTGCCGGGCACTGTTCTGGATGCTTCGTATAAAGTATTTTATCTAAGCCTCACAGTAAACTGAGGTAAATATTATTTCATCTGTGTTACAAGTGAAGAAACTGAGGCTCAGAAATTAAGTAACCTGCCCATCGTCATGCAGCAGAGAGTGTTGGAGGCAGGATCTGAGTCTTTTTGAATTAAAAGACCCCCGTCGGTCAGCTTCATCTCACGCTGATTAAAAGAGCTTACTGGGACTCAAGGTGGGAGGAAGATGAAATAGCTTCCCGTCGTATTTAGGAAAAAAATCAAAAAGATCCTTTTCTTGTAAACACCAGGAAGTCTAGGGATGGGAATCATAGACTAGAGGGAGGGAGAAAGTCAGTAAATGAGATGGACGCCCTGCTACCAGATCAGACCCCAGGGCTCCGACCATGAGGCCCCATTGCTGCCCCCGTTCCACCCTCGCCCCCGCGTGTCACCAGGGAGAGCCAGAATCAACAAATGTGACAGGCCTGGGCCCCCAAGCTCCTGACCTAAAGCAGAGCAGCTTTAATTAATTATTAATTGTTCTTTCCTGCTGTGGTTGTTAGCTGGTTTTCTTTGGGCTTTTGCTGTGACAGGGAGAAACCATCTCCTACTAATCATTCCTCCAGAGGACAGGTGGCCCTAAGAGGGTGGCGGGACCTCAGAGAAGGGCTTAATTTCTTTTTTTCCTTCCTAACACAATGTTCCTAGGTCCAACGGCCCGGTTGCCTCAGAATCGTGGATCTAATGCAGGATGTGCCCAGAGCTCCCCATCCTATAATTTACTAAGGCAGAAAAAGGGATTCCACGGCACAGACAACCCTTGGGCATTCTCAATTTTGAGTAGGGAGCTTTCCCGGGGAGCAGGAGGCCAGGAGTGGAGGCCAGCCATGGGCTCTAACTCTGCCAGCCTCTACTTCCTCTCCTGTCTGCAGTCTCCTTAGAGATTTAGGAAGGAGATGGTTTGGAGGTATGACTCCTGATATAAATGAGCAGACACCGTTTCCCTGATAAACTTCGCCTTGTCTTACAATATTCAGAAGACTTTACACTTTCCTAGAAAAATGTTCCTTACAGTAGAGGCTCAGGAATGGACAGAACGGGATGCAAAGTTTGACAAAGTAATGGAACAGGAACTTCCCAGACAAGAAGTCTAAGAAAAACCTAACAGTAGTTTCCCAGGTAATGTCATTTCACTCAATGTCGGCGTTTTGTTATGATGCTGATGGGATGCCCCTGGAGCTTACCTCTCCTTTATATCTATTAGCCTATGGTAAAACTGGTTTTATTATTCACTGTTTTGCTTCAAGTCACAGAACCTATCAACGTCGTTAAGTAAGGACTTATTGTATCCTTTCCAGAAGCCCCAAAATTACCCTCCCCACCAGCTACTGGATCTTCAGGGCTGTCACTAGTGTGTATAGCAAGATGCGGAGGGAAAGGTGTTTATTGACCTGCACAAGTTCAGCAAGAGGTGGGGGCATCAAGTGCCTGATGATTCAGGAAACACTGAAGGAGGCACAGCATACCTGGAGAGTTGGTCCAGATCGCAGAATACCCTCAATTCCTTCTGAAAGCTCTGGTCACACAGACCCTGACTCCTGCCTTGGGAAGTGGCTTCAGGGAGCTATAAGCCTCTCATGCACTCTTTTCCTTCAGATCCTGGTGTTTTCTAGGAAAAAGTGTTTGCTCCATCCTATTGTTACACCAACAACCTATTAGTCTCTTAACAGAACAGAGCATTCGAGGCTGAGTTGATTGGGCACTTTCCCAGGGAGCCCCACCACCAATACCAATGAGAAAGCAGAGGGTCGGCGATGGATTGGGATCCCTTCCCCTTCCTGGTGTGCCCAGGTCCCTCCTGGAGGTCTCCCTATTACCTCGAAGTCCAGGTAATCCAGGGCTTCCAGGCTCGCCTTCCTTCCCTTCATCACCCTGATCACCTTTGGGGCCCGGTGGTCCTGAAGGGGTTACAAACAGCACCAAGGTTAGAGGGCAGCTTTTTGGAACAAGCCACTTGCAGAGGAAACACAAATCCCTTCTTTGGAGAGGAAGAATCAGCATGATGCTTTAGAAGCATCCAGGGCTCTACCCTGCCCAGTCTTATATGTGTGTGGTGGAGCAATCAGGGAAAGCTTCGTGGAAGAAGTAATATCCAAAGTGAAATCTCAAGGTGGAATAAAAGATGACTAATAAGCAAAAGGAGGGGTAGGAGTGTGTGATGAACTGAATGTCTGTATGTCCTCCAAATGCATGTGTTGAAGCCCTGACCCCTTCGGTGTGCTGGTGGTCCAGATCGCAGAATACCCTCAATTCCTTCTGAAAGCTCTGGTCACACAGACCCTGACTCCTGCCTTGGGAAGTGGCTTCGGTGTGTAGGAGGCGGGGCCTTTGGGAAATGATCAGGGTTAGACGAGGTCACGAGGATGGGGCCCTGATGATGAGATTAGTGCCCTTGTAAGAAGAGCCACCAGAGATTTCTCTGCCTCCTTTCCACCCTCTCACTGGGGAGAATACTTTCTCTGTCAAACGAGGATACAGCAAGAAGGCGGCTGTCTGCAAACCAGGAAGAGGCCTCTCACCAGAGCCCAACCATGCCAGAACCCTGATCTCAGACTGCCAGCCTCCACAACTGTGAGAAAGAAATGTCTGCTGTTTAAGTTACCCAGTTTGTGGTAGGTTGTAGCAGCCTGAATAGACTGAGACCGAGCAGAAGGGGCTAGTTCCAGGCAGAGTGAACAGTCCCTATAAGAGCTTAACGAAAGAGATATATGAGCCATGATGGGATTAGAAGCTGGGATAAGAAGGATGAGAAAGCAGAGGTCCTGAAGGCCTGGCCTGAGTGCTGGACTTGACCCTGAGGGCACCAGGCCCCATGGGGGCGGGGTGGGGGGCTGAGAGAAGTGCATGATCAGATGTGCACACAAGGAAGACCGCTCAGCCCGCGATGTTGGAAAACGGATTGAAACAAGAGGGAGAGCAGAGGCAGCGGGCCAAGGAGAGGCTGCACCCAGGTGAGAGGTGATGAAGCCCTGAGTTAGGAAAGTGGAGGTCGGGAGGGATGTGGGCCGTTGGTTGGAAGGAGAAGACACAGACGTGGCTGAGCATAGGTGAAGGCAGGGGAGGCAGCCAAGATCATCTTCAGAGTTCTGGCCGAAGCACCTGGATGAAAGAGGGGTTTCTAATTGCTCCTGAGTGGGGCTTCCTTTTAGGGCAAGACTTCAGTGTGGCAGGAATTCTAGCGTCTGTTTCAGTCCCTACAACAATACTGGGTGTTGAAGTTACTTGTCTGAGGCCACACAGGCAGCTAGCAAGGGAAGGAGCTGTAGTTCCAACTCAGGGCTGTTTGGCCCTCTGCCTCACTCATCGCCCTAGACATCTTGCCATTTCCAGAATGCAAACTGAACCTTCCCGCCCCCGCGGCCTGCTGTTCCCAGGCTGGTGAGGCAGGGAGGCAACCTGCTATCACCACCTGCCCCCACCCCTCCCAAGGCTGCTCCTTGCCACCTTCTTGGCCAAACCTTCTCTGTTCCATCGTTCCCGCTGAAAGCAGGCACGGCCTGTTCGAACACACGTACTTGGTGCCATTTGACATTTACCTCACACTGCCTTGTCCTGTAGTCATAAGTGTATGCGCGCTCTTTTTCCTAACAAATTGCCAGCTCCCTGAGACAGGACTACATCCTCGACATCCCTGTTCCAGCGGTGAAGATTCAGACTCTAAGCTCTCCACGGCTGCTGCTTTGCGAGAGAAAAGGAGGACCAAGGAAAATGCACTGGGTTGAAGAGCATCCCCTCCAAACGCACGTCCACCCAGAACCTCAGAATATGGCCTTTTTGGAAACAGGGTTTTTGCAGATGTCATCAGTTAACATAAGGTCAAACTGGAGTCGAGTGGGCCCTGACCCAATGACTAGTATTTGTTATTAGAAGCAAAAACACTGATAGCCACATGGGGAGAATGCCATGTGATGATGGAGACAGATACTGGAGTGATATATCTACAAGCCAAGGAACACCAAGGGTTCTTGCAACATCAGAAGTTTGTAAGAGGCCAAGTAGGATCCTCAAGCTTTTGAAGGGAGTATGGCCCTGGGCCCCCTTTGATTTCAGACCTCCGGCCTCCAGAACTATGAGAAAATTGCTGTTGTTTTAAGCCTTCGAGCTCGTGGTCCTTTTGTTATGGGAGCCCTAGGGAAACCAAAACATGTATACCCACAGCATAGCAGTAATGTCTTGCACAATAAATATTTGATGAATGAATGAGTCTATGAGATCAGAGGGTGTTAATACATACAAAACAACCAGGAGGCCAAGATCAGGATGTACTGATACATTCCAAAAGTTGGCACTCTCCTCAGACCCTAACCAAAGTTGACAGCTGTTTAATAATTCAATGGCACATGCACAGAGAAAAAGTAATCAACAATTTTAACATGCACAAGTTACACGAATCATTTAAGGAGGACTGGGTTTTGGAGCCAGCTTCCTCTTTTCTGTAAAGAAAAGCCAAGTCAGACTGGCCATATTGATCTCAGTTTTCAGGTGACAGGGTTGGGGCAAAGAACCTGTTTGCAACACACCTAAGATTATACAGCAAAGGAAAGACATAGCGAAGAAGCAAATGAGCTTCCCATTCTCGCAATCTCCTGGCCAGGTTAAAGCTCCAGAAAGGGAATTGAGAGAGGTACCTGGATCTCTGCACTGCTTGAGCTGCCACTGGGCTGGACCTCTGTCCCCCAGTACACCCCACCACTTTTCACTCTCCTTTGCCCACTCCACCCCTCTCCTTGTGGAACACAGGGCTCCAGAAATTGAGCTGGTTAAGTATGCAATCGATCAAACTCTCCAATTTGTTCTACTGGTTCTGATGCGGACGTGACTCAAGGTATGGATCTTCCCAAGAGTAATTCTCACAAGGGGAGGATGCTGCCCAGGGGAATGACCCTGAGGGTGGGGCATCTGGGTGGCAGCTATCATTCGGAAGGTGGGAGTTGAGTATGGATATGGAGCATCTTAAGTTCATGTCCTGGTTCTATAAAAATCTAAGTATAAAAATTCCTTTCCTGGGCATTTATAGTGAGAAGTAAGTGGATTAAAAAACATAGTGGATATAAAGGGCCTTGGTAACGTTCGAGTAGCAAGGTCATCCTTGAACATCTGTAGCCCACTTTGTATAACACTTCATTAGAACTTTTAGACGACTGTGTATGAGGGTTCTAAGTTGCACCTGAAATCACCCTGCCAAGCTTGGCTGGGTCATTCAGGGAGAGTCAGGTCTGAAGAACATCCTATACGTGGACATAGTTTTTAAGACACAAATAAATGGTAAGTGAAGGCCTTTACTAGAGATTATTGGGAAAAGGTTGGGGTGGGTAGTAAAGGTGGGTGCAGGTTTCTGAACCTTGCTCAGCAGACTCAGAGGAACCTAACATGGGGCCAGTGTTAGTTTCGCGGGGCCAGGATGCCTGGAGCTCTCAGGACCAAGCGTGTCTTCAGATCATTGCTGTCCGTGGGTAACGCATTCCCGGGGCCTGACTTTTTATCATTCTCTCTGGAATCCAGGCTGAAAATCTCAAGCTTGCTTTGCGACTCCTCCCTTTCCTTTGCCCTCCTCACCCTGTCACTCTTCAAGGCTTGTCATTGAGGCAATTCCTGTGTCACGTCTCTACCTCCTTCCTCACTGCCACCGAGCACATCGAGGTCCTCCTGGCCTCGCTCCCAGCCTTTGGCACCTGCTTGTCTCCAGTCTCTCTCTCCGACCCATTCTGAGCACTGTTGTTGTTTGATCTCATCAGAATCAAATGAACTCAGAGCCCTCAGAGGCCCCCCACAGGACGATGTGCTATGGTCCCCTCTGCTGGAGACCCCTGCAGGTCATTCCCAAGTGATCCCTTCTTCTGCAAACTTACAGTGGGATGCTTCTGGGCACAAACTCTCTTTTGCCTCAGCAAAAACAGTCTCCTCGTGATGACCCCAAATCCTCTCCTTTCCAAGAATCCCTGCCCTCTTAGCCCATGGGCTCACCTTCATGTGCACCCTTCTGATCTCTTAGGGCACCAGGGCAGAGCCCCCAAATCTCAGAGCTGGAAGGAGCCTCAGGCATCACTGTGCATGAACTCCGCATGCAGTGGGGGATGCCCCTGACTCTGATCGGGCCACCTGTGCCCACTTGTGGGACACTGTCACTCACCCTGGATTGTGGTCCCCAAGGAGATTAGTCCCTCTGTGGGGCTGGAGGCACCCACTCTGTGGCCCTGTGCTTCACACGGTACCTGGTACACAGTAGAGACTCAAAGAATGGTTTCTGGGCAGTCATAGAGGCCATTGCGGTATCAGTGGTCCCAGGGGTATCTAGACAAGCTTTTTAACTTTTCAACTTCGTACACTGTTACTTTCTCATCTTTTCTAGCACTGGAGCAGGTCAGAGAATGGAGGTGGGCTTGGACACAGGGGAGCAGGGTCTATTTCTCCTCCATCATGAAAATAGCCCCAGAGTCCCCTCTACTGTGCTTTTGGTCCAGGGTGCCAGCTACTCCTTCCTAACTGCTTCTCAGAGAGGGCCTGGGGAATGGGACCCCTGCGCCTGGGGTCCCCTCTGAGAGCCCGTCCACCAGTCTCGCCTACTGCCCCACATTGCCCCTGGGGCAGTTCTGCCCTCACCCAGGCTGCTCATGAGCTGTTCCAGCTGGAAGCATCTCCAGAACAGAACAATCTTTGGGAGAAACACCAGGATTCTTCTGGGAATCAGCGCACAGGGAGGGAAAAGCAACCCACTCTCCCTTCCCGGATCCTGGAACTAGAGATGGGGTGGGGGACTCGCGCGTGCCAGAATCTGGCCAGTGACCTGCCAAGAACAAATTCCCTTGACAGCTGATTAAGTGGGCCTGGCGCCAGCAAAAAGTGACCAAAATCAGAATGTAAACACCACCCCCAGAACCATGCTAATCCCTGGGGTGGCTGACAGAGGTGGAGTCCCTTCAGTAATGACTCGAGTTCTGTTTCCTTGATGTCACTGGGGCACTGGATGCTCAGTGCTGTTACCTTTACACTCTCGTGAGCTCTGCCACTTCCCTCATTCCTGGCAGCCTCTCCACCACCCTGAGCATGTGCGTGGGGCAGGGACTGTCAGCCCCATCTCACCACGGAGGAAACTTGGGCCCAGAAGTTTGGTGGGAAGGCTGGGTGCGATGACTCATTTTCACAGCATACTCTACACTTCCCGGCAGAATCAGACGTGGAAGGTGAAACAACTTAGTGCCATACAACCCGCCCAGAAAGTCGCCCCCCAGCCCATGCTTCCCAATCCTTGGCAGAAGAGAAACACTATTGACATGTTGCTCTGATCAGAGACACTCAACACCTCCGACATATTCTTATTCACAAGAAGCCAAAGTTTCACAGTTTGAGCCTGGAATCCAGGGCTCCACAACGTCACACCATCCCTTCATAAATACTTGTTGAACCGGGCTCTCTAATCTACTAGATGGTGTTCTTTTTCTCGAAAAAGCAGCCCATGGATAAATTTGCTTTGCCAACTTGTTTTCCTGAATCGAGAGATGTGTTTCCTAGTCCCAGCTGGGCCACTGGCTCCAGATTTGACTTGGGGACGACATTTCCCTCTCTGGGCCTCAGGGTCCCCCACGACAAAACAAGAGGAGAGAACTAGGTGATTTAAGAGACCCGTTATCACTCTAGCTCTATGATTTTATAAAACAACCAACTCGCAAACAGAGCCATCTGAATATGCCTGCAGAGTTCTGCCTTCAGGTCCTTGCTTACACCTCCCCCTTCCAGGTGCACCTCCCTTCTCGGGTTATCGTTCCTTCTCGTTGATTCTTTCCCCCTCCAGTTCCTTTTCCCCCCCTGGTACGCCTCCTCTTTCGGATCATCTAAGTTCTCTGCTGCTTGCAAAGCCACAGATTTCAACAGACCTGATTCATGCTGAAAACCCAAAGCAGAAAACAGAAAGTATTGCTGTTGAATGTACACAAAGGACAAACCGGAGACAAAAATTCATAGAAAACTGTATAACAAAGCGAGAGAATGAAAACCATTTGGGGCCAAGCTCAAGAATAACATAAATAAGCTCCTACTTGAAAAATACATAGTTAAGTATTTGTGGATTCTGAGTCAGGAAAGGGCAGTGTGTGTGTGTGTGTGTGTGTGTGTGTGTGCGCGCGCGCGCGTGCGTGCGTGTGTGTGTGTAAAGACTAAGAGAGGAAACAGACAAAGTTAGGGCAGAACAGCCACTCTAGGCAGCAGTATATAAATGTGTGGGAGCTTATCTGGTAAAACATTCCATATTCAAAAGCCAGAGTAGAGCTTTGTCTCGTTAAAGTTGAATGGTAATTACATTCAGACATGCCAAACTCAATTCTCTTTGATCATACCAACTGGGACCCTGGCAACCATGAGACTGGGAGGTGGGGAGAGCCTGTGAGGGACGACCCCGCAAATACAGGAACAGAGCCCAGGGGACCATGCTCCCTTCTCTCTTCATTGCTCATAGCTGGTTTCTCTCCACTGGAAAGCAGGATGGTCAATGACAAAAACATCGTTTTTGAGCCAGAAAGACCCGCTTTCAGATCTTGGCTTTGCCACTTGCCAATTGCACAAGAAACAGTAAAAAAGTTATTCAAGTTTCTCATCTATAAAATGGGGACAATAATACCTTCTTGCAGGATGTGACGATGAGCGATCTTCAATGCGTTTGAGAATTAGAAAATTAATGAAAATATAGAGAATTAATGTTGAGAAAATGTCTGGCTCATAGTAGGTCAAGATTCGGTGTAGCTGCCACTCTACTAAGTACCTGCTATGGGCAGGGGAGGTCAAAAAAAAAAAAAAAAAGAGAAGATGGGAAAAGCTAAGATCCCAGTGGTATGGATTTGAAAGAAGAAATTCTATCTCTAGCCCTTCTTTGATTTCTGAGAGGTGAAATCCAAAATGACTCAGGACAAGAAAACCAATCACCTGACTGCTCAGGTTGAAGATTTAATGGTCGCTCCACAAATATTCATTGAGTCCCAGTTATGTGTATTGCCCTGTTGGTGCTGGAGGACACAGGGATGGACAGATGGGGGTGGACCATGATGTAATAGAATGAGCACTGGGCGTTGGGCTAAAAGTCTGGCTTGGTCATTGAATTGTACACTTGAATGGGTGAATCTTAAAGCATGTAAATTATGCCTAATTAAAGCTGTTGAAAACAAAAGTCCTGGGTCAGATCATTACCAGCTGTGCAGCCTTGAATAAATCAGCCATTTCCTTCTGGAGCCTCAGTTGTTTTTCTGCAGGAATCCTACCCCACCCTCAGTAATGAAACCTGCCTTCCACCAGCCTCACAGCTGGTCATGGGGACCCACTTTCAAGTAAAACAATATACCCAAAAGCACTCTGTGAACTGGCAAATGCTATGCAAATGGAAGGCCCCATCACTACTGTTTTACATTTTGATCAATGTACACGCTCAGAGGAGGGAGACTTGGGTGAGCGAAGGAGGCCAGCATGGTTCTTGGAGGAGGTGGGTTGGAGTGAGATCTAAAGGATCAGTGGGATTTGGATGACGTGGAGCAAGAGAAGAAGGACGCACAACTGGAGGAAAGCTACAGCAGTGGGAAAGGCGGGCTGTGTCTCTGGGGCAGTGACGAGACGTGTCCCACTAGACTGGATGCTTCACACAGTACAGGGGGTGCAAGCTGGCCATCTATGGACCATCTATGGCCCCCAGATGTGTTGTATTTGGCCCACAAGGGTTAAGCAATTAAAATTTTCTAAAACATTCCATGTTTCTGGTTTCTCTTGAAAAATGGGAAGACCTTGTCAATGCCAGTCTGGCCAAAATGGGCTGGACTTGCCATTGCCTCTACTATTCCCCCAACACCGAGGTCACTTTACTCACTGATACTGCTCCACTGGCCTCTGCAGACAGTTCTGTTTGTAACCCCTGTATTCGAGGAACAGTCGGAGAAGGCAGGAAAGACAGGCTGGGGCCAGGTATGCGATGGAAGGCACACCAGCTCTGAGATCGGAAAATCCTAGGTCCACTTCTGGCTCCATCACTTCCTACCTGCGACTGCAAAGCAGCTTCCTGCATCTCAGTGCACTTGTTTTTAAATGACATCATATAAGATACTCTTGGCATCACACCTGACAGAGGTGGTGTTCAGAATGGTGTTATTATTATTGTCTACTGTTAGGCTAAGGAGCTTTTCATAAATTCGGCAGAACCCGAGAAGCCATGGTGGGTTCTGAGCCAGGGAGGTGATGCGGGAAAAGAAAACTTCCTGAAAGGTGCCTATGACAAAGATGTGCAGGGTGGAGGGCAACGGGAAGGCATGGGGGAGGGGACGACTCAGACAGAAGTAGAAGACAGGGAAGTGGTTTTCAAGGCTATAATACCCATGGCCCCCAAGCAAGAGTACAAATGGAGGCCTGCACATGTTTTGCCGTTATATTTAAGAGTTATCTATACAGCTGACAAATCGTTAAATAAAATATGTTCTTTTACCTGGATGAATACAGCTTCATAAAAGCCTGGAAGGCCAGGTTCGGATCTGGAATGCCAACTCCTTGTAGTTCTATCCAGTGGAACACTATGGCACTGCGCGGGCACCTCCCTGGTCCTGGGCTGAGCCTGCAGCCTGACCCTCTGCTCTTCCTCCCAGCCCCATCCTCTTAGAGGCCTCAACTGGCACATTCGAGCTCTGACTGCTCAGTCCTCCATCAACCAGCCTTGGCCATTCTCATGCACTGAGCGCACTCTTTGGGGGTGGGGGTGCACAGGCACATGTGCAGCCCTGGAAATGGGCACAGGACATTTGGGTGGAAAATCCCAGGGTCCTGTAGGGCAAAACTTAATCAAGGAGATATGGGCCCCCAGTGTCAAGTCAGCTTGGGGAGCTAGGGGGACTCCTCGGCCCTTGGGGAGGGTGCACGAGAAGAGGGCCTGAGCGGGAAGGGCCCAGCTAGGCCCTGTGGGCTCCCTACCTTTGGCGAGGGAGATGTTCCTCAGAGCGATGGAGTGCTCCCAGTCCTTGAGGCGCAGGTCCTCCGTGATGGTGTTGAGCATGGCCAGCTCCTGCTTGAGCTGCAGCTCCATGCCCATGTGCACCAGGCGCATGCGGCGTGTGTCCTCGCTGGCGTTGGTCACCAGCACCTGCAGGTCCTGCAGCCGCGTGCTGTGGAGGGCCACGTCGTAGGACAGGCTGTAGTTGAGGCCGCGCAGGGCGCCGCCCACGTCCGCCAGCTCCTCGCCCAGCACGTCCACCCTGCGCGCTAGCCCGTCGAGAAGGCCGGCATGGCGCCGCAGCAGCAGCTGACTGCGGTTGCTCTCCACCTGCAGCTGGTAGAGCTCTAGCTGCACTGCATCGCTCTGCAGGCTGGTGCGGTCGCGCAGCAGGGCCACCGCCTGCTCTGTCTGCGCCGCCTGCGCCTGCAGCCCCCACAGCGCACCCTCCAGCCGCTGCACCGCGCCTGCCAGCGCCAGCAGCGAGTCCGACTGGTTCTGCAGCGCGTCCTGCACCTTCCACACCTGCTCTGTCAGGTCCGCCTGCAGCGGAGCCTGCAGCAGCCGCAGCTGCAAGTCCCGGAAGCTCTCGTTCAGCCGGTTCACGTTTCGAGTCAGCGCCTTCAGGTCTTCGGGCGAGCTCCGGGGCTTGGACACTGCAGAGGAGGAGAGGGAGAGATGAGCGCCACTGGGGCGTTCCCCGGGTCGCGAGAGGCAGGCCCAGCCAGAGCCCGGAATACAGTAGGTGCTCAATAAATGATAAATGAAGGGAAAGCAGAGGTGGCTATGGTTGAGTGCCAAGTACTGTGCTAAGTCAACGGTCCCCAAACTTGTCTGCCCATTAGAATCACCTGGCCAGGCACCCCACCTGCAGAAATTGTAATTGAATTGGTCTGGGTGTGACCTGGGCTTTGGACTTTTTTAGAAGAGCCTGAAATAATTCCAAGGTGCAGACTAGTTTGGGAACCACTATACTCATCTAACCATTATGTATGAGGTTGATCCATATGAAATGGCCACTTCTTTGTGCTCAGCCTATGATACTGTGTGTTGTTGAGAGGTCAAGTAGAGGAGGAAAGTACCAGTATTGTCTCCATTCACGCTTAGAGCCGTTGAGGTGGCCCAAGGTAGCCCAGCAAGTAAGTCGTGGAGCCAGAGGGCTTGCTTGCTCCAGAACCCAGGTGCTTCCCCACAAGTCTGCTCCAGAACTGGTTGAAGGAACCATGCCTGCAGCAGACTCAGCATCAAGGCAACACTATTTCCTGGGACTCCTGAGCTCAGAGTCCCTTTCCCTCCTACTCATCTGCTGTGGCAAGGGCCTGTCTGGATGGACGTACACACTTTCATGTTGGTACCCTCCCTTCTCCGCCTCCTCCAACCCTTCTGGATCCCCTATTTCCCTCTTCACACAAACAACCCATCTCAGTGACTCCCTCCCCCCACCCTTTCCTCTTGGGGAGGTTCCTTTTCTTGGTTATAAGCAGCTATTTCACAATGCGAAGGGGAGGTATGTGCATCTTAAGCATTAGAATCTGGCATCCAGTGTCTCCTGGAAGCTTGCAGGCTGTGCTGACTCAGGTACACTGGCGCTGGGATAGTTAGAGATCCTTGCTGTCTGTTTGCCGTGTGCCGTCCACAGTATCTGCCTCTCTGCTCTGCACACTAGAGCAATGGCAACTGTAGTGGGAGTTGGCGGGAGTGGGAGGAGCAGCGGTGAGGCACGGAGGGAATTCGGCCTTGGAAATCCTGGAATGGAGAGGACCAGGGAACTGAGTACACAGCTTGTTCAACCAATGAGAAAATTTGGATAGAATAGCATTCTTCCAGAATCTCAGTCTGGGAAGGGGAAAAATTGGTTGTGAGGGTGCTTGGGCATGTGAAGGATCAGTTAGCTGTTGCAGTCCTTTGGCAATGCTTCTGGAAGTATAAGCATTTACGGTGGGCACTCTGGAGGTAATAAGTCATTTCGGATTAGATTTAGGGGCTCATTGGGCTAGATGGAGCCTTGGAGCCCCACCTCAACTTCTCCCTCTGCCAGCACTTTTTCTCCAAGAAAATCACACTGCCAGTTGGTAACCCAGCCTCTCCGCCTATACCTGTCTTTCCACCTTCCATTAGTGCTAACTATTGGAGCAGTCTGCATTCTATTCGGACTTGAAATTTTTCTCCCTGTAGTTTCTACCCACTGAGCCTGCCCTCTGGGGTCATGAAGAGCTAGTGAATTTTTTTCCCCCCACAAGACAGCTCTTCAGAATTTCAAAGAGGTATCATGTCCTTGCTCTGCGACACCCTTTCTGGTTTAAAATTTGCTCTCTCAAGACTAGGTTCTCAACCTCCATCGATCTTCTTCTGTACATACTCCAGTGTGTCAATACCCCCCTTAAGTCTAAGTGTGGTTTTCCAAGCTGTGGACAGACTAGGCAAGGTATGGTGGAAGGATCAGTTCCCTGGGCAAGGGATTTATATAAATGTGGCCAAAACTGGACCTCATTTAGCTTCATCTGAGCTTTTCAGACTTCCACCATTGCATTTGGCTCTATACAGTCTTTGGTGAAAAATTTCCCCAATTTACAGATGAAGACACTGAGGCCAGGAGAGTGTAAGAGTTGTAAGTACAAATAAAGGTTCTGGGGAAATGGATCTGTGACCCAAACACAACCCAAGTAACCACTGGAACTGTCTGCTTAAGAAATCACCATAGGCCGAGATTTGATTTTAAAGCCAGCGTGTTTGTCCAGTATTTGATCCAGACTGGTTGACGAGTATTAGAGACAGGGCAGTTGGCAAACAGAAAGTCTGATATTTCAGTGTCAGTCTTTGCTCATGATGTCCATGGGGTTCAAAGAGACACTGTAGCTTATCAGAAGTAGTGAGAATACTCTGAATTTTTGTCAATACTGGTTTTAAAATCGGGATTGTGAGTGACTAAGAGAAACAGTGCAACCTACTTGATTTAAATCACAGGACTGATTCAAGGCTCCATCTGCTCAGGCCTGCCAAAGGCAACACACTGAAGTAGGCAATTTTCCTTTCTCCCACTCTCTTCTAGCCCACATCAGTCCTTCCTTCCCTCTTCAAGTGGTCCCCACACCCGACTGGTGCCCTGCGACCTTGGAGGCCCCTGGCCTTACTCATTGGCCCCCTCATCTCAGAACCTATCAGCTCATAAGCCCTTCTCTCTTTCCAGAAAACGGACTGAAACTTGCCCACATGACAATGGCTGACAATCAGTTACCCCTCCCCAGAAAGTTCATTTGAGTCTTGTATTATGGTTCATTGCACAACCAATATAAACACGAATCCAAATAAAAGAAAGAAAAAATTCTTCCATAATCCCACAACCTCCAACAAAGCACACTGGTTTTCTCTCTCTTTCCATGTTCTAGCTCCACTGATATACGTACCTCATCTTTACAATTTGATTTTTTTAACCTAATATGATTATTTCATAAACATAATCCTATCTTCCTCTTTGTCTTGTATAATTGTAATTTTGATGGCTGTGTGAGAGTCCATCTAGGGGACGTGTTGGAATTTACCCATTCTCTTACTGTTGAGTGTTTTTTTTCAGTTGTGGAAAAGAAGTGCAGAAAGGTCCCTCCTTCTTTTGAAATGTTTTCAAGGCAATGCATTAGCTCAAAGGAATGATGTAGACATTTTAGGTACCCAGGCTAATCAGAACAGAAATTATTTGGAGGATAATACTCTTTGGGCACCAAATTGTGCTGTATAAGCCCAGCTTCCCTTTTTAGGGATCACTTACCCACTCCAGAAGTGAATTATCTCCTTCCAACAGTCACAGTGTGTTCTCAGCCCACACCACCACTACTACCCACCCTCTTCCCCCATTTAATTCTTTCCAGATGCTTGCTGTTCTCAACAGGGAACAATTCTTTTTTGAGTGTGACTCTCTTAATTCATGTTTATGCAAACAGTTCATTTATCTCTCTGCCTGGTATATTTACTTTGAATGTGCTTTAATTATTCTTCAACTTTTATACTTTCACAAAGAGGAAAATAAATCATAGACTAACAATGCTAACTGGCATTTCCCGAATTCTTACTATGTGCCAGGCACTGTCCTAAGTGCTTTCCATATTAATACACTAAATCCCATAACAACCCTATGAAGTAAGTATTATTATTATCCTGATAATCCAAATGAGGAAACTGAGGCACACAGAGGTTAAATAACCCACAAGGTCACACAGCCAGTGAATGGAGGAGACTGACCGGGCCCGGGTAGTTGGGTTCCAGAGCCTCCCAACTCTTAACCACTTTGGGATGTTGCCGAAAGGGTGAAAGGCACAGAACAAACTTTTTAAGAGACACTGATGTGGAATAAGCTAGTTTCCCATCATAAACTAAGGCTGGAGTCAGACTATTTGTCAGGAATCATGTAGAGATTCAAATTTGGATTCTGATTTAGTATTAATGCTGATTGCTAATTAATGTGTTCATGTATAATTTGTAATAATATATAAGTAACATAATAATGTCAGCCTCGGGCTATATCCGGGGCTAGGTGGCTTGCACATACATATCTCCTGCAGCCTCATCTGCATGGCTTTGCCTTCCCACACCTCAGTCCCAAGTTGGCCCCTGGTCCCATAATTGTTCTTTATGTTCATGAAAAAAATAATCACATGCTGGTTAAGTCAAGGTGCTCCAGATATAACTGACCAGGATGCTGTCTTCCCCAAACACATGAGGCACACTGACAGTGCCAGCGTCAGTCGGGAGGAAGAAAGCTAAGCATTCCGTTTGCTGTTTAGTGAAAGAAACCCTTTATCTGTGTATGAAAGTGCACGTTCATTGCCTCACTTAATTTTCAACATAACTAACCTTGGGAGAGAGACAGGGCAAGTACATATTCATAATCTCATTTCAGGATGAAAAGGAGGCTCAGAGAATTCAAGAGATTGCCAGAAGCATAAAATAAGGATGTACTGTGATCATCTGTCCCTTAATCCAGTACTCTGCCCTCTACGCCTATTGCTGAGATAGTCAGTCACATACCAAACTCCCAACTGTATATGGGGAAGCAGGGCAGAAAGTGACATTTATTAAGCACCTACTACTATATGGCAAACTCATCCTAGTCTCCTACTAGAAGTTGCTTCACTTACTCTTCCCCACAACCTTGTGAAGTAGGAATCATTACACCCATTTTCAGATGAAGAAGCTCGAGCCATTGGTAGAGCATGAAAGCAGGCCCTGGAGCATCGGTGAGCACAAACTGAACTGGAGGATGCATGGAGCACATGCTGACTGGTGCCAGCTGACAGCTATGATATACGTATTAGGATGGCCTGGCATAAGCTCAGAGGATAAAAACCCCACCACTATGTTATTACTTTCCCTAGACGTGTGGCTCTGTCCTCTGTGCTCCTGGCACCAGTGTTCCCTTTGGTGGTCCAAGCAGACAAAATCTCTGATTATTCACTGTTAATGACTGCAGAAATGGGATCCAAGATGAATTATAAATCAAAAGGTTCCTATGGAGGAGACTGTACCCAGGATTCCTGTTTCAGTGGCTAGAATATCTGAAGTCATTACCAATGATGTCAGGAAACCCAGCCTTTTGATGAAGCACATGAATCTAATAGAGGAGACTAATTCTTTGTGAATTCACAAGAGGAACCGGGACCTGCTA